AACGCATTTTTGGGTCCATGAAGCATCAAAAATTGAATCTCATGTTACATTTCAATAATTTAAGATGCTTGGTGCAACTCGAGAGAAAGCTCACCTATTTCAGGCAGAAGAATGCTGGGCTGCCTGCCTCATTAATTGTAGCGTTGTGGTAACTGGGAGAGGGACCTAACAGGTCCACAGCAGATGCCATTTCCCTGCGCTCATCCCTGGAACATCTGGACAACCAGGACACCTATGTCAGACTCCTGCTCATCGACTCCAGCTCCACCTTCATCACCATTATCCCCTCCAGACTGATGTCAAAACTCCAATACCTTGGTCTTGGCTTCACCCTCTGCAACTGGATCCTCAGCTTCCGGACCCATTGGCTGAAATCTGTGAAGATAGACAACTGCACTTCCTCCATGTTAACACTCAACACTGAGGCCCACCCAAGGATGCATTCTCAGCCCCCTACTATACTTCCTGTACACCCACAACCGTGTAGCCCATTTCCGAATGAACAGCATCTACAAGTTTGTTGGCGACACCACCGTGGTAGGATGGATATCAAACAACGATGAGATAGAATGCAGAAGGAAGACAGATGGCTTGGTGATGTGGTGCAATGACAACAACCTCTGTCTCAATGTCGGCAAAACAAAAGAACTGATCATTGACTTCAGAAAGAAAGGAGGAGGACACGCCCTCATCTCCATCAACAGAACCGAGGTTAAGAGGGTTGAGAGCATCAAGTTCCTAGCACTGACTATAGCTGACAACCTGTCCTGGACTTCCCACATAAGATGCAACAATCAAGAAGGCACAGCAACACCTCTTCTTCCCCAGGTAGCTCAGGAAATCTGGCATGTCCATAAGGTCCCTCACCAATTTTTACAGATGCACCATTGAAAGCATACTGTCCGGGTGCATAATGGCCTGGTACGGCAACTGCTGTGCCCAGGGCCGTAGGAAACTACAGAAGGTGGTGTACACAGCCCAGACCATCACGGAAGGCAACCTTCCATCCATGAACTCCATTTACACGGCTTGTTGCCGCAGAAGGGCTGCCAACATCACCAAAGTCCCATCGCACCCTGGTGATGCTCTCCTACAAACTCTTCCATCAGACGAAGATATGGAGACTTGAACACACGCAGCCGCAGGTTCATTAACAGCTTCTCCCTGCCATTATTAGACTGATGAATGGACTCTCTAACTTGAAGTAGTGTTGCTCTTGTTAACATTGATCTTGCCTCACGCAGGTCCTGTATGGTGTAACCTGTATGCCTTTTTTTCACCCTATGATCTGTATGTCCTTCCTTACTATCATCAGCCTGTACTGCTCGCTAAGTTTTTCATGGTACTTAGGTACATGTGACAATAAACAAATCAATTGAATCAAATCAAATTAGAGCAGGGTAAGGAAAATTGAATTGGATTATGGTGGATCAGTGGTGGTTCTTTTTAAATGCTGTATCTCTTTCTGATGACAGTCACTTGCGAAGACACATCCACACTCAGAAAATAAGGGTGCTGAACAAGTCTTTTGCTTATGCTTCAATCAGGAAAGCCCACTGGGGATCTAAAATGTTGGTCGCGCCATGCTGTTGTTTATTCAAGAATCCTAACCCCGATTTAAGGTAGTTGCTCAGACTCCTGAAATCATTGTGTTGTACATTGTTCAAATGTCATTAGAGTAAACAGCATAGTTCCAATTAATGGGTCATTTTTGCTCCCAATTTTGATCCATAAAACAGATGAGACAAGAATTAATTTCTACTCATCAAGCTACATAAGTTATTACATGTGTTTCCACAACAGGATAAATGGAATAAGAGTGGAGGAAGGCAATGCTTTTTTAATGGCATTTAATTTTGGTAATGAGTAGAATATTAGCTTGAGTTCTGAGTTGAACATAATGCTGGGATTCACACAGTCTGTTTTAGCCTAAACTAATAGCAAGAAAAGGACAGTGCAAAAAAAATGTTAGCTTTAATCTGCCCAAAGTTCATTTGAAGGATTTTGTGGGTATTCAGTAGTCCTTGCCCTGCCTTCACATTGATGACACCCTTTTTGTGTGTGTGGTACAAACACCATCACAAATGGGAAATTTTTGAGCAGATCTAGCAATTCAAAAATGGGCATCTGTGAGGTGCTGTACACCCCATTAGCTGCTGCAGAATTGTACTTAAACACAATCTGCAACCTCATGGCCTCATACATATCTCACCCTACCATTACCATGTAGCCAGGGGTCACTGTAGTTCACTAACAGGTACAGGGGGGCATGTCAGTAGCTGCACCAGGCATACCTAAAAATGAAATGTCCACCTAATGAAGATGCAGCACAGGACTAATAGCATGCTAAAAGCATAAGCAGCAAATGTTAGACAGAGCTAAGTGATTTCACAACCAACAGATCAGATCTAAGCTCTGTAGTCTTGCCATATTGTGTCGTGCATGGTGTGGACAATTAGACAACTCACTGTTGTGAGGCAACACAAATATCCCCATCCTCAAAGATGGGGAATTACAACACATCAATGCAAAAGGGAAGACTGAAGAAATTGTAACAAATGCTCTTATGGTTTTATCAGGGGTCATGGGGAAAAGGCAGGAAAGTGAAGTTCAGGAGAATTGGACCAGCCATGATATGATTGAATAACAGAGCAAAACTCGATAGGCCTGATGGCCAGCTGCTGCTGCTACATCTTGTGGTTTTATAGTCTTCAGCCAGAAGTCTCCCTATCACTGACACACAAGTAGCAGCAATATATATCATCTACAAGATGAAATGCAGAAATTCACCAAGGCTCCTTAGACAGTACCTTGCAAGCCAATAGCCCCCAGCATCTAGAAGGACAAGAGTGGAAGATACATAGGAACTCATGGGAACTGCCTCTCCATGTCACTCATCATCCTGTCTTGTAAATATATCCACTCTTTCAGTGTCACTTGGTTAAAATGCTGGAAATCCCTTCCTTTTACAGTATTGCAGGTCTACCTGCAACTAATGAATGGATGTGCTTCAAGAAGGCAGCTCACCACCACCTTCTCAAGGGCAATTAGGGGTGAACGATAAATGCTGGTCAGCTAACAATGCCCATATCCACTGAATAAATTTTTTAAAATCTCTGGTAATTTACAGCGGTGGCTAGCCTTTGAAGGAAGTGGCTGACAATGTAAGTGGGCATCACCAGTATGTCTCTGGTAATTGACCCTGCATCTATGGATGATGTATGTGAGACTGTATTTTATTAAAGATAGCTGCTAGAAACAATCTTTAAAGGCCTCTGGAAGCCCTATTTCATAGTTTAGCAGAGAAGTAGGTGAGAAGGGTAGCTATTTGCAGGAGCCAGCTTCCAATACCTATGCAAATTGTATTGTTGACTATTTACAGATTACTAACTCTTTCATAAATAATGAAAACTCTTTCATTTAAATCAGCAAAAACGTTATAGAATCATAGAATCCCTACAGTGTGGATGCAGGCCATTTGGCCCATCAAGCCTACACCAACCCTCCTAAGAGCATCCCAGCCAAACCCACCCTCCCACCAATCCTATCCTTGTAACCCTGCAGTTCCCATGGCTAATCCACCTATCCACATTCCTGAACACTACAGGGCAATTTAGCACGGCCAATCCACCTAACCAGCACATCTTTGGACTGTGGGAGGAAACCAGAGCACCTAGAGGAAACACACACAGATAGGGGGAGAATGTGCAAACTCCACACAGACAGTCGCCCGATGGTTGAATCAAACCAGGTCCTTGGTGCTGTAAAGCAGCAGTGCTAACCATTGAGACTAGAGCCAGTATCAGCAGTCAACCTGCGCACCAGTCATTGTGGAGACAACCTTGTTATCACATCAAGGCTACACTGTATTGTGCTGTTTGGCATTGTCACGGTGCTAGCAACTCAAGATTGGGAATTTATGAGGCACTGAAGGCCTGAATTGAAGTCCAACATAATCTGAAGCCTCATGGCCTGCATATCTGCCAATATACCACTACCATCAAACCAGAGGATTAATGCTGGTTCAATGAAGAACACAGGAGTGCATGACTGGCTCAGCAACATGCATACCAAAACTGAGATTTCAATTTGGTGAAAATGCAATACAGAGCTTCTTGCATGCCATACAGCATAAGCAGCAAGTGATAGAGCAAATCAATTCCGTTGCCAACATAACGTACAGTCACAATGAAATTCACCACACAAAGCCTTCTCTTTTCAAATATTAAAGAGAGCGGAATGGGAGTATCATTTCTACGTTAATAATTCTTCTGCATTTAGTTCATCCATTTGCCCATCAGCATGCTTACTGTAAGTTCATCACGTAGATCAAAGCAAGTATGATGATACCTCTGTTGTGTGTGTACAGAACCATTTCAGCCTTTCCCTACGCTAGATTCTCTGAATCTAGTCGGTGCAATGTCTGAGAGGGTAAGCACTCCATCTTAACATTAATACTTTAGGTTTAAGTCATGTATAGAATATTAGCCAATATGACCGGATAAGCGACACAGTAGTCTCAATTCCCACAGAAGTTGTACAGTATGTTGAATTTCTCCACATCTAAGCAGCAAGTATTCTAGACATGCGCTGTTGTTGGGCGGAGTATTGAAACCTACTGTTAGTTTATCGACCGGCTTCTCGTCTTTTGTCGTGTTGTGTAATACGTGCTGCTACTTCGCTCTTTGTTATTGCCGCTGTTTTTGTTTAATCGAATAGTTGACTTCCGTAAAAATGTAAAATCCTAACGTCCGCATGGCGCAGTCCCCTGCTGCCAATGATGGATGAGATGGAGGTGAGGATGGTCAAGGCTGAGATTGTGTATCCTGTACAGACACGCCAGTCTCTAACACTCCCCCTGCTGGAATATTACTCACCGTGGCTGTGGGAGCAGCCCCTCTGTCTGCAGTATAGTTCACTGACAAACAGCACGGGCAGCAATGGATGCAATCAGCTTTTTTCGTGGTTATTGAACTATCGCCTTCGTGCCAGCGTTGAGGATGAAACCCCCGGGCGGCATCTTCGTGTCTGTTTTTCTTTTCGCTGCAGAGTTGGTCGCAGCCCTGTATCTAAGCAGTACCTACAGATCTGCTGGGGACAGGATCTGGCAAGGGCTCACACTGGTCTTCGTGCTGGTGCCATCAATCCTGGTCCAGTTCACTCTAACCTTCGTGCACCGGGATGTGAGCAGGGATAGACCCCTGGTGCTGTTCCTACATCTGTTACAGCTTGGACCATTCGTCAGGTAGGCAACTTTCAGTCCAGATAATTGCTGCCGCGAGGATTCAGTGATATAACTGCATGCAGAGATAAATAAGGAACAATATTGGCTTCAATTGAATTCACTGGGAAACAAACGTGCTCTGTATTTGGGTGATGAATAATAAGGTGGGAATGTTGGGTTATTCTTTCTAACAATGTTAGGGTGGGATTGGCTGTACATATCAAAATTGATTAAGCTTCGTACTTCTTCGATGCTCGAGGAACAAAAGATGAAAATGGTTTATTAATAAACGAGTTATTATCTAAATAACTCAGCACTCTCGTCTCCGAATTCATTTGCTTTCATCTGTGGGGTAACATCATGGATTGAAGCAGCGGTGCAAATATGCAAACACCAGCCCCATGCAGTCTGTTTATAATCGAGGAACTGTTTGTGAAAATAGGGGGAATCGCCTTGGCCCAGTTTCTGCCCAGAATGAGGGGCGCGACAGACATTTGGTGAATTAATATCGTCCTGAGAGGGGGTACGTGAGACGAAGGTTGAAAACAGGCGAGGTGAACAGAGATACATGCGCACAGGGGAACTCTGTGTTCCAGCCTGCAGGACCATAAATCAACGCTGCATTCAATTCTTTTGATTCTCAAACACAGCCCAGCGAGAGGGATTAGCGGCAAGAGTCTAGCTTTCAGTGTGTAATCACACTTGAGTGTGTATCCAAACTCGCGTTAAATCATTGAGGAAGAAACTAGCCTCCGGGTTAAATTATTTTAACAGCCACATCGCAAACTACCTTTTGATGAAATAATTTGTAGCTCTTTACCTCCATCACTGTAACGAGAGCCTGAAACTGAAACCTAAACATTTCCACATCATGTGGAGCCTGCTCCATGATCAGGTTGCAGGCTGAAATTGAGGTTGACACAGAAGCACACAGCTTTCTTTGTGCAATCATCGAGCTCTACAGTCAGTCCGCAACCTTCCCTTTATAAAAGGAGGTACCTCCTGCTTCCCAGCGATTACCTTATAACGGAATCGGCAACTAAACGTGATAAAGTACCAACGTTATAACACTGAAAGCAGCTTCGCGCGGACCTGAACCAGTTTGTTTGGGATAAAATAAAACATACCAAAAAGGCCACAGAAAGGCGTGGGGTGGCGTTAGCAGTGCAAAATCAGGATATTTTATGTAGTGGTCCTGCGAATATCTCTGAATTAAGCAATGTGATGTTAAGCGGTCTAAGCTCTATGTGTTGTGCCGGCTAGCATCGCTGTGTGCTTATCCAAGCATATCTAAAGATGTCATTTTTTCAGTCTTTCGCCCAGCTGCCCGTTTTGTAATGCTCGCGATTACACTTTTACAGTGTTCATTGAAGCGGCAATAGGCCGTGGCTGTAGAGAACAGTAGGCAGATAGTGCAAAGTGTGTTTAATCATAGCAGGAAAGGATAGCTTTGCTGAATATGTACAACTCTTTTACCCCCCGCTCTAAATCTATTTTAATTAAGCATTCGTCAACCATTTCATATAATGCAACCAAAATCACACTTTATTGCTAATTGTTCTTTTGCTATAAACTAATACGCCCTGGAATTCACCAAGAGAAATACAAAAAGTGGGAGTGGTGACGCATCAAATTCCCGAAAGGTTTATTGTCATCAAAACATGAGGAAAGAATAAGAACATGAGGAAAGGACAGCACAGAAAAAAGCAGGTACAGTCATTTCACTACGTCTGAGGAAGGAGCTGAGCTTAGAAAGCTTGCGTTTTCAAATAAACCTGTTGGGCCGATGACCTGGTGTCGTGTGATTTTTGACCTTGTCTATCCCAGTCCAACACTGACACCTCCACATCCACTTCAATCCATTGGAAAGAGGAATTCACTGCTATCAGTCGTGAGTGTACTAGATTTCAATATGAGGATAATGCCAATGTATCAACGAAGAGTTATTTCTTGTGGAAATTGAGGAAATGCTTTTATGGAAAACCAGGGACAATTGAGCACTCAGTGAGCAATTAATGCTGGAAATATAACTAGTAAATGAAAGAATGTTATGTTCAAGTAATGCATGATCATATGCTATTTTGATAAAACCTGATAACCAATAATTCAACATTAACCTGTGTTGGTACAGTAATTAAACTTTATTCACACCATCAAGACTTGAAATATTACAGTATCTGCATAATAGTCTGCAACATGAAGTTGAGAATCATATTACCCAGTTTATGCTTTGGGTGGAAGGTATGGCAACAAATGCCTCTCTGTCTTGAACCTGACTCATTCTCTTAAGTGTCTCTCAAATTCTCTGATTTCTCTACGAAGTATTCTTCATCTCCAGTCTATTCAGACCTTTTCTTATACTACTTTTGATAATTCAAAGCCAGAGTTTTATCAGATCAGTTATTGACTAACATTAGTCATCTCATTGTCCAATTATAAGATTGACTTGTATAAAATGTCCCTGTTTGCTCAAGCTTTGGGTCCTCTGACCCTCCTTACATCACGTTTTGCCCTTTGTGTGCAGCTATTACTACACAAAGGGAAATGTTTTACATTGGAGATACTTGATGCTTTTGATAGTCAAATTACTCTGGTTAGAGGCTTCTCCTTATCGTGACCTGATCCAAGGCACCAGTCCTCCCTAGTATTCTTTGTGACATTCCAGTTGAGGAAATGGTGTTATCATGATAATGTCACTGGGCTGGTCATTCAGAGGTCAGGCTAGTGTTCTCATGTTACTGTGGCATGGGTTGAATTTTCATTGTGGCAGCTGGTAGAATATAACTTCAATTAATAAATCTGGAATATAAAGCTACTGTCAGTAGCGATTATCATGGAAGCTGTTTTTTGGTTACGACAACCCATCTCGTTCACCAAAGTCATTTGGTGAAGGAAATCTACCATCTGTACCAGTCTGGACCAGTCTGAACTGCTTGCTGAAATGGTCCAGCCAGCCACTCAGTTCAAAGGCATTTAGGGAGGGAGACAAATATTGGCCTTTTAAGCAATGTCCAGATCCCCTCAAAAAAATTCTAACATAAATGTTCTAATCAGGTTTACATCCTAGTGAACGCATGAGAGAACTCTCAAACTTTTTTTTTCTGCAAGCAGTGACCATGTAATTAGATTATTTGAAGAATTCATGATGAATTAAGTAAAACCTTGATAATTGTTGGGAAATGTATGAGAACTAAATTTTAGTGAATTAGCATACTTGCAATCAGGCAGCAGTGGTAGAGCCATTCTGAATTGATCAGTTTGTGTGGATGATGTTGTAAGACAGTATCACATTAAATAATATTGAATTAGAATATTATTTAAAGCTAAATATAGTCACATGAGAAATAGCATTAAGTTTTAATTACTGAAAACAGTATGTTTAAGTTAGTTTTTAGTTATGTTTCTGTTTTGAAATTGTGTTAAGGTTTTTTATAATCCAAGATTGAAAGAACCGAAATGATTAATAATTGCAGGGTTGAGATTCTATGATCCCATGTAACCATGTTATTTCATACTGTTCCATTAGGGAGGTTCACTTGAAAGAGGTTTGATCAGAGAAACTGGGGCTAGAATCATATAGATTGATCCTTGAACCATGAGATTTTAAAATTAACCCTTTAATTTCCATAATGCTCACATGAATTTTTTTTAAAATGTTATACTCACACATTTAGAATCCCTGCAGTGTGGAAACAGGCCATTTGGCCCACACTGACCCTCCAAAGAGCATCCCTCCAAACTCACCTCATCCCTGTAACCCTGCATTACCCGTGGCTAATCCACCTAGCCTGCACATCCCCGAACACTATGGGCAATTTGGCATGGCCAATCTACCTAACCTGCACATCTTCAAACTGTGGGAGGAAACCAGAGCACCACGCATACATTGGGAGAATGTGCAAACTTCACACAGTCGCCCAAGGGTGGAACCAAACTCAGGTCTGTGGCACTGTAAAGCAGCAGTGCTAACCACTGAGCTACCATGCCAGCATTTCTACAGCTGGTACATAGACAACTAGGAGATTTCAAGTCAGATGGTGCAAAAGCAATTATAATGGAACAGAACATACAGGGAGGCTACTGTCACGTTCTTCGGGCAGATGTCATGTTCTTTTCCAGTTGTCAGTTAAAAATATGTTTATGGATTATATGGGACTGCCTTCATTGGTAGCACATACAATAGAAAATGGATAAGGCAAAATACTCGACAGTGGTCCTAAAACTGATGCATCACTGGCAGAGTAACAGGAATGAAAGAGCTTATGACAACCTACTGGAGAAACTGCCTTTTTTATAAACATAGTAATTTAGTCAGCAAGCAAGTGGATTCAACATCAGGACTCACCAGCACAGTGATTATTTGGCAGCTGAGGTTTGGAATGGTTACTTGCTGCCAGCCACTATATTAAATAGAACAATAATATAACAAGCAAAATACTGTGGATGCTGGACATTTGAAAGAAAAAGCATAAATGCTGAAAATAGTCATGCAACGTCTATGGAGAGAGAAACAGGACTAATGTTTGAGATTGAGATTACCTTTCATCAAAAACTTTTCTAATGAAAGGTCATCTCGATCAATTGCTCCAAGACAACCTGAGTTTTTCCAATATTTTTGCTTATAAATTAGAAAAGATATTGCACCATAAAGTGATATGTTAATTTAACAACATTTTGCAATACTTCTTTCATGCTCCTTTCTATTTAATATTTTTAGGTGCCTTGAAGCATTATGTATTTACCTAAATGTTGGTAGAGTTGAAGAACCTTATGTCAGTATTACCAAAAAGAAGCAGATGAAAAAAAATGGCTACTCTGAAGAAATTGAGAAGGAAGTGGGTCAAGCAGAAGGCAAAATGTTCACACACAGAGCTGCTTTTAACCGGACTTCAGTGATTCAGGCTTTCATAGGCTCTGCACCCCAACTTACCCTCCAGCTCTATGTCAGTGTAAAGGAACAGTTTGTTACACCTGGTAGAGGTACGTGTTTTCATCATGCTGAAATTGCACATTTATCTAAAGTTACTTCACCAAGTGAAACATCATTCGGATCTGCATCATTCAATCTAGACAAATTGGATGAAGGTATATTATCAGGTTATCATTACATTCAGACATCAACATCACTTCTGTTGAAACATTGCCTTAGAGGGGGTCCAGAGGAGGTTCACTGGAAAAGAAGGGCTTATCATATGAGTAGCAGTTGAGGACTCTAGGTCTGTACTCAATGAGGGGAGATCCGATTGAAACTTCGAGAATACTGAGAGGTCTGGATAGAGTGGACATGGAGAAGATATTTCCACTAGTTGGAGAGAGTAGGACTAAAGGTCACAGCCTCAGAGTGAAGGGATGACCCTTTAGAACTGAGATGAGGAGGAATTGTTTCAGTCAGAGGTGGTGAATCTTGGAACTCATTGCCATAGAAGGCTGTGGAGGCCTGAATCATTGAGTATCTTTAAGACAGAGATAGATAGATTCTTGAATAGTAAGGAGATCAAGGCCTATAGGCAGAAGGCAGGGGAATGGGGTTGAGAAACATATCAGCCATGATCGAATGGCAGAGCAGACTCAATGAGCCAAATGGCTTAATTCTGCTCCTATATCTTAGGATCTTATTCGTTATGAGGAAATTAATGGAATTAAAGAGTGACAAATCCTTGGGACCTGACAGTTTCGGTCTGAGGGTATTAAAGGAAGTAATGGACCACATTGTAGATGCCATAAGTATAATCTTTCAGAGTTTCCTAGATACAGAGTCACTCCACTTTTAAGAAGGGCAGAAGAAGGAAACCAGGGATTCACAGACCATTTAGCTTAATATCTATAGTGGGGAAACTGTTAGAGTCCATAATCAATAATAGAGTAACTGAACACCTTGAAAATGTTTTGTTAATCGGGGAGGGCCAGCATGGATTCTTGACAGGTAGGTCATGCCTGATAAACCTCATTGCATTTTTTGAAGAGATGACTAAAGTAGTGGACGGCGAAATGTCTATGGATGTTGTTTATATGGGCTACTAGAAGGCATTTGAAAATGTCCCATAAAAGATACTGTTAGCTAAAGTAGAAGTCCAAGGAATTGATGGCAAATCACTGTCATGGCTCAAAAGTTGGTCGAAAAGTAGGCAACAGAAGTAGGGATAATAGGTAGGTATGCAAATAGGCAGGATGTGACCAGTGGGGTCCTAGAAGGATCTGTGTTGGGGCCTCAATTAATCACATTACTTATTAGTGACTTAGATAATAGCATAGAAAATCATATATTCAAATTTGCTGATGACACAAAGTTAGGCAACATTATAGACAGTGTAGATGATAGCATAAAATTACAAAACGGTATTGATAGACTAAGTGAATGGGCAGATGGTGTCCATGTAAGTAAGTGTGAGGTTATCCATTTTGGACTGAGAAAGGATAAATCAGGTTACATTCTAGATATTATGAAGTTAAATGCAATGGATGTCCAAAGATACCTGTGGGCTCAGGTACATAAATCTTTAAAATGTCATGAACAGGTACAGAAAATAACCAAGAAAACTAATGGAATGCTGGCCTTTATATCTGGAGTACTGGAGTAAAAGGATGCAGAAGTTATGCTACAGTTTTACAAAACCCTGGTTATAGTCCACTTGGGGTACTGTGAGCAGATGTGGGCACCACACCTTAGCAATGATATATTGGTTTTGGAGGGAGTACAATGTAGGTTTAGAACAATGAAACCTGGATTTCAAGGGTTAAGTTATCAAGAGAGACTGTACAAATTAGGCCTGCTTTCTATAAAATTCAGAAGGTTAAGGGGTGATCTAATGAAGTTTTCAATATATTAACAGTAAAAGACACGGTAGAAAAAAAATAAACTCTTTCCACTGGTTGGGGATTCTAGGACAAGGGGTCATAATCTGAGAATTAGGGCCAGACCATTCAGGAGAGGTGTTAGGAAGCACTTTTATACGCAAAAGGTGGTAGATGTTTGGAACTCTCTTCCATAAATGGCCGTGAATGCTGGATCAGTTGTTAATTTTAAATCTGAGCTGGATAAAGTCTTGTCAAGCAAAGGTATTAAGGGATATGGGCCAAAGACAGGTGCATGGAGTTAGGCCACAGCTCAGCCTTGATCTCATTGAATGGCAGAACAGGCTCGAAGGGCTGAATAGCTTACTCCTGTTCCTTTGGCTATAATCTGCTGCTAAAATTTTCAACTAATTTTATTAGAAAACTATTATCTATTTTCATCAAATGATTATTCTGGTCAGCAGGGATAGCAACATCATGAATGTGTTTAAAAGAAACCATATAGTTCTTCTTTTACAATTTATGTGACTGGAAGAATCATTGTAGAATAAAAGGGAGTTATTTATTCAAGAGGGTGAAAATGGACACAAATTAGTGCAGTCCTCATAACACAAACTTTTTTGAAAGTCTGGATGTAGCCCACAATTTTGTTCTGAATTGCTGATTACCATAATATGAATTTGCCTAGAAGTGCTAAACCCAAGCCAGCAGGATTTCCATGTTAGTGATCATTTGACATATTGTTAAAGAGCAGTGTGTATGGGTGCCTTGCACTGAAGGTGTGGCATGCCTTGCAAAGCATGTAGCAGTACTTTGCAGGATAGCTCAGGGGCCAAGAGGGATGGTGCGCAGGTTCTGTGTAACATCAGAGGTCCTGCTGTGACAAGTCCAGGAACAGACAAATGCCCATAACGAGCCCAGTAAGGTGGTCTGACAGAGCACTCACTCTTTTTAGATGAAAATTTCCAGAAAAATTGTTGCTTGAATATTGATGAAACCTTGACAAGGTACAGCCAAAAGTCTCGTGCTGAGTTTCAGAGATCCACATTAATTTCCAGCAACAATAAATATGAAATGGCAAGTATCCTTTAAGTAGATAAACTGAACAGAGAAACTGGCACTGCAAATTAATTTGTCAACCTAAGATACTATTGTTGGAGTGTAGTCCATCAGCAAGGGAACAATTTGAAATAAAAGATATAATTAGGGTGAAATTCCAAAAAATTTATATGTGATTATTACAAATATAACAATAAATTACAAAAATATAATGTACTTTATTTACAAAATACCAAGAAATGCCCTGGGATAATGAATAATAACTGCAAATAAATATTACGATGGCAAAATACTTTCAATGCTGGAAATTGGAAATAAAACAGAGAAAGCTGAAATGTTCAGCTGGTCTGACAGCATCTGTAGAGAGAGAAACAGGGTTAACTGAGGTTGATCCACCAAGATAACCAAGTTGTGGCATTACACTAGTACTAGTGTCTAGTCCAGCGCAAGATATCCTGTTGAAGTAGTTGAAGCCAGGAACAACACCTGATTAAGCAGGTGACTGTCATTTAAAATGTTTTTTTTAAGGCTAACACTTCAACTGCTACCCTCTGGTAACAACAACCAGTTGTTTTGAAGTCAGTAATGCATTGATGTATATTTCACGTATTTGCTATATCTAAATTAAGAAATTAGGATCCTATTTGCTTTTATCTTGCAGCTTTGATCAACGTATTGCTCATGTTTTAAAAATGTATCTGAACCCTTAAGTCTTTCTTTTACTTTACTTTTAAGGTATTTCTATTTAGTGAATAATTTACTAACTTTATTTTTCATGCACAATTTTTGTATTAACCTTTAGCTGATATAAATGCACTGTTTCTCTTAGTTGACCTGTGTCCTTCTGAGGCTGCATGCAGCTCACTTCACAGATTACCGCATTCCTTATTTTTGTGCTGCATGTAAATGTTGTTATTGTGCTTTCAAGCCTAGGACAATTTGGCGAAAAATAAGAGCCAATCTCTGAAGGTTACGATTGTTTACATATTCCTCTGAAAATACCCATTCCCCATTCATTTCTGTTTATGTTTAATCCATTTTCAGTCCATTCTGCAATGCATTTTTTAATAACTGGGGGTGACTATGCATGGCAATTCTCCTCATTGACCGCAAAGGAAAGTCTCAGAAAAACAACCTAAGTGCATTTCCGCCCATTTCTATTAATGTAATATTCTAATTTACTGTTACCTTGGCGACCAAAATCTGTGACTGGGTTATATTTTAGTACATTTCTATAAACATTGATTATTATGATTGTTTTTGGATTTTTTTAATCCAAAAAACTCTAAGTTCTGCTTCATTTTTCAGGAGTACTAATGGTTATTTCTCTACTTACCATTGTATATGGAGCCTTGCGGTGCAATATCCTCGCTATCAAAATCAAGTATGATGAATATGAGGTACATGTGAAGCCTGCAGCCTACATCTGTATATTTCTATGGAGAAGTTTTGAGATTGCCACCAGAGTGGTTGTTTTGGTCCTTTTTAGCTCTGTGTTGCAGATATGGATCCTCCCCGTAGTTCTCTTGAACTTTTTTACATTCTTTTTCTATCCATGGGTATTATTCTGGAACAGTAAATCACCTTTCCCTGAGAACATCGAGAAAACGTTTACAAGAGTAGGTACAACAATAGTATTATGTTGCCTTACATTCCTCTATGCCGGTGTTAATATGTTCTGTTGGTCAGCAGTTCAACTTAAGCTAAACGATCCTGATTTAATTAATAAATCCCAGAATTGGTACAGACTAGCAGTGTACTATATGTTAAGATTCATTGAAAATGCTGTTCTTATTCTCTTATGGTACATCTACAAAACTGATGTATATACCTATATATGTGCTCCTTTGTTGGTCATGCAGTTGTTAATTGGATATTGCATTGCAATATTTTTTATGCTTGTCTTTTATCAGTTCTGCCACCCATGTAAAAAGCTTTTCACTTCCAGTATTTCTGAAGGATTATTAGCTTGCATCCATTTTGTTTTTCACTGCCATTGTCACAAAGCTTCTGAACCTGTGGAAAGAGCTGTCTTAGAACCCAATAATGCCAATGACCATGAACAGGGTGCTCAACCTAGCCCTAAATCTCAAGATTAGAAGAAGCTTCAAAGTGTAGTAGTAAGTGCACAGTGTTCTCATTTTGTACACATCCAGTTTGTTTGGATACAATCCTCATGTTAGTTTCCAAACTTGTCTTCAGATGAACTCTGTAGCTTAAAATTTCAATGATAGGTGATTGAGTTGCAATGTTTAAGGATCAATCTGCTATTAATTGCAGTGAGACATGACAGTAACTTTAACAAAAATAGGTTCCCAGCATGAGGCCTCACCTGGCAGGAGAACGTAGCAAACTATAGTCTGACTTCATGTGATTTTTATTCCATTCGTATTAATGACTGGAAATTAATTTTCCAATATGTACTTCCAGTGGGTGAAGCTTGTCCTATTAACAATGCAGTGCTGAATGAAGTGCCATTTCTAATTGGTACTTTTAACTCATTAGCTTTGTATTGTATAGATCCTTGAGTGTGCATTACTGAAGTAAAATAGGAGATGAACAGAACTGAAATATCATCCCTTCTTGCACACTCTGCCAATTTGAATAAGTGAGAGCAATTGCAATTTTTTTTCCAATTTGTATTGATCTTCAATTTATACAATGGAGTTTCATGGTTTCTTTGAATGGAAGACTCATTCACCTTGAAACTATTTGTGATAATAACAGTGTTGTATATTCATAGGAATATTCTCTTTCTACTATCTGAAAATAAACCTTATCCTTTGTAATCTGGTGGTTAAATACTCAGCATTGAAAAACTGTACAAATATAATACCATAAATAATTCTTAGAATGTTGATCTCAAGTTAAATTTCCTGCAAAAGTTGCTACATAAGTTTTGGTGCAAAAAAAAATCCAGTATGATTTTTTAAATTATTCAGTGATCATTATTCAATGTCGTATTTTGAAATTTTAACATCAGAATTCAAACAGTAAAAGTAACACTTCTTACTCACAATCCATGATTTGAAAATAACCTGTGATATAATCTTGAAAGCCTCTGATTTGCTCAACATCAACTTCAAAGCAGTTAAATACCTATTTAAGTATCTTTAGATCTTATCAATTGAACCAAGGCTGATTTTGGAATATTGGACTTCTTTTAAATGGTTAAGTCTACTCTGCTGCATACCTGTTAAAACCATTCTTTTTCTCTCATTCTATTTTTTCCAGTCTCCCCTTTTTAAGGGAATTGAATCCTTTTCTGTGTCGCGGTTCTATGGGCAGGTGTCACCTCCTAATACTTTAATATAAAATGATAATTATTCACATGTAAGCCTTAATAATGAGAGCAAGTAGAGTTTTCAGTATGGAAACTAAGCCCAGTCCTACCTTCATTTCACATTAACACGTGCATAATTCCAGTAAAAAAAGCAGTGAATCATGGTTCCAGGTAACGAATGTGCTGTCCGTTTGAGAAAAAGGTTCCTTCCCATCTTTGAAAATTCAAGTTACAAGTATACCTCACTCCTTCAGGAACTGACTAAGCATCAAAGAATCTCCCAATTTTTCCCCCTAACCCTGCCCAATCAAAATCCTTTCAGGGATGGGTGTAGACTCACTCATTATTGTCATAACACAGTCGTTTAAGGAAAATCCATGACAGTTCAGGGTCTACATAGTCAATTGAAAGGAAGGTACTTGATGGGCTGAATCATCTTTTCATGCTTTAAAACTATGTTGATGAATCACATGCTAAGCTTGTCATATATGAATTAGTAGGAAATGTAGAACTTGCTAAATTATTCACTGCAGCTTTAGAAGTAATACACCTCAGTCAATAGATATTTATTGTTAAAGATAATGAATTTGTATACCTGTTTGACAAAGTTAATCACTGCTTTATGGCTACTTGGTAGCAAAATAGAAGTAAGATTTTTGAATCACATAATGCACTATAACCTGTTTAGCATACTCATTAAAACGTGAAAGCCCCATTATAGCATTTAAGTGCAAAACATGATAAAGTTCATCAATGCCCATGCAAGGAATGTCTAAAAAGTAATGAAAGCTTTGTAACTTCGGTGCATGCTGGTCAGGATGACAAAAAAATACAATTAGTGGACTTGTAAATTAAATGTATATATTTCCTTTGGGACACTTTACAGAAAAAAATAACTGCATCAAAACTTAAGATTCTTTTCTCTACTTGGGGATTTCCTCAGTAAACTATTTGGTATCACTACCAATTTATATGCTTTCTGTGTTTGAGAGAAATGCCAATGAAAAATATCTAATGTAGCCACCAAGAACAACACTAAAAATCTGTCCGCCCCAATAGTTGACAATCTTGACAGGTCATCACATTTTCTTGGGTTCAATTCACTTGTCAGATTGTGTCACTTGAATCAGGTTGTATAACTCTGATAGCTGGATAAAATGCTCCTTTCCTACCCTACCTCTAGTATAAGGAAAAACTGACACAAATAGTACTTCACCTGAGTCTAGGATTGGTCTAGCGAGTTGGTATAAATCACAGGAAACAATTTTCAGAGGAAAAGTGTTTGAAAATTTGGCACATTAATTACAATAGTATTGCAATCATCAGTGAAAATTATTTACAAATCGAAGTGACTATGGAATGTGTGCATAATGTAATAACTACTTGAAAATAAAATCACTTTAACAGTGTGTTGATAAGATGCAGTTATGAACATATTCTTAAAAGACATGAAGAAGATAAATAATTTCAAAGAGAAATGCAGAATCTTGTAAATATTGACAATGGACAGACCCTCACAAACATTAAACAAAGTTTGTATATAATGATAGTTTTATTTAATATATTGTCTTATGTTTCCAATGGAACTGAAGGCAGTTGCTTCATTTTACAGATATTTGATGACTATAGCTGTAATGTAAAATAAATGAATACATAGAAACAACAATTGTGTATTTTATGATGCGTTATTTGTACGCACCTTTTTTAAGAATAGAGTACATATGATATAAATTGTGCAACACACAAGTGTACTACTCTTCCCCACTGCAGCCTTTTTATTCCACCATAACCAGTAAACTTCCATTCTAAAGTGTTACTATTATCTGGAATTCATCTGCATTATGTAAGTGCTGCTAACTGTGGGAATTGTAGTAGTTTTCACCATCTGATTTCACATTGTTTGAGAATAAAAATATCATAAGTCCAGAGTAGCATGCACTAAGTAGTGAAATTCAACACATGTTGCACAATGCATTAGTTACATATTTAAAAATCCAATCCTTGTTCTTCATATGTATTCAGAAACTGTGTCTGTAATAATTCCCAAACAACAACAATAACAGAATCACAGAGGTGCTCTGGTGCAGAAGGAATCTATTTGGCTCATCATGTCTGAACCAGCTCTCCAAATGAGCATCATGACTTGCTGCCATTCTCCTATCTTTCACAACAGTCTTCAGCATTTGTTTTATTTAAATAATCATATAATGTGCTCTTGAGTACCTCAATTGAACCTGCCTCCACTACATTTCTAATCCATGCATTCCATACACTAACCACTCATGTGAAAATGTTTTTTTTTCAAATCACATTTGGGTTTTTTCCAAATCACTTTAAATCTGTACCCTCTAGATCTCGATCCAGTTATGAAGGGGAATAGTTTCTCCCCATCTACTCAATCCAGCCTTCTCATGGTTTTGAAAACTTCTTTGCTTGCTTCACTCCAAGGAGATCAATCCCAACCTCTCTAATCTAACCTTATAATTGAAGTTTCTCATCCCTGGAACCAGTCTCGTAAATCTCTTCTGGACTGTTTCCAATGCATTCATATTCTGCCTATTGTGTAGCAGACAAAATGGCTCACAACTCCTCAGCTGAGGATCTTATTAAATTAGAGAGGGTGGAGAAAAGATATATAAGGATGTTACCACTACTGGAGAGTTTGAGTTATAAGGAGAGGCTGAATAGGCTGAGACATTTTTCACTGGAGCATAGGAGTTTGAGAGGTGACCTTAAAGAGGTTTGTAAGATCATGAGGGGCATAAATAAGGTGAATAGTGAAGGTCTTTTCCCTAGGGTGGGAGAGTTCAAAACTAAGGGGTATATTTTTAAAGTGAGAGGAGAAAGATATAAGAGGGATCTGAGGGGCAACTTTTTCACACAGAGGGTGGTTTGTATGTGGAATGAACTGCCAGAAGAAGTGGTAGATGCAGGTAGGGTCACAACATTTAAAAGAGATTTGGAAGGGTACATGAATAGTAAGGGTTTGGAGGGATGTGGGCTAAATGCAGGCAAATGGGGCTAGTTCAGTTTGGGGAAACCTGGTCAGCATGGACAAGTTGGACCGAAGGGTCTGTTTCCATGCTGTATGACTCTTTGACTCTAAATGTCTTATACTGGTTTATACTTCTCCTTGCCTTTATGCTCTATGCTTTATTAATAAAGTCCATGATACTGTATTGACTGTACTTCTACTTATACAGCATGTTTAATGTAACAAAACGTCACAAGGTGCTACATAGATGCATTAGAAAACAAAATATAACATCAAACTGCATAAAGTGATATATGGGCAGGTGACCAAACACTTCATGAACAAGGTAGGTTTTAAAGTGTGTCTTAAAGGAAGAAAAGTGGGTAGAGAGGAGGAGAGATTTGGGGGGCGGGGTGGGGGGAGGGCGGGGTAGGTACAGGGAATTCCAGAACTTTGGCCCTATGTTGCAGAAGACAGTACCAATGGTGGTGATTGAAATTCGGGGTGCTCAGGTGATTGGAATTGGAAGAGTATAGATCTGTTGGAGGTCTGTAGAACTGGACTTGAGCCAGGCCACTGGGATATTTAAAGATCATGATGACTATTTTAAAAGGAAAGAAATGCAAATGCTGGATCTCAGAAATATAAAATGCAAGGGATATTCAAAAGGTCAACCAGCATCTGTGAAGACAGAACAGAGTTAATGCTTAAGTGAGATTCAGCTGAACTGGGATAAGTTAGAAATTCAATAAGTTTTAAATGGGTGAAGGAACTGGGTCGCGTTAGGGTGGAAACAGAACTAAAGGGAAGGGCTCTTGCAGGGTAGAAGACAGGAAAAATTG